GAGGTAGGTCCTGGGGGGGGGTACCAATTACATGTATACACAAATATACATACACATGAACGTATTTGTGCGTGTGCCTCGCGGAGGACCTCCGGCACCGGCCTGGGGGCGGAGCAGGCGCTGCAGTGCCTCCCTCGGTCAGGAGATTTCGGGAGGGGGCCGATCGCTTTTTGGCGGCATGCGGCGGCATGCGCCTGGCGGCAGGTCCCGCCTCGAGCAACTGGAGCAGAGCCTCCAGCGGCTCTCACAGCGGGGAGCCCCTCGAGCAGAGGAAACTTCAGGCACCTGCCTCAGTGATGTTGTCAAAGAGAGCTCATAGCATAGTGCGATCGGAGATATTTTGAGGTTCCGTGCCCGGCATGGACGGCTGCGGCCTCAGTGTGAGTGAGGGTGCCGGTTCAGCTTAGAACTTGAAAGGCGATGCCGTGTGGCAGCGGTTCACTGACGTGGACCAGGTGGGGGAACAAAAGCAGACCTCCCGAGCTCGTGTACTCGCGCTTCGTTTGTTTGTTTGCCTCGTCCGACGAAGGCCCACATCATGACCGTCCAAAGAATTTCAGAGGTGTGTGTTTTCAGCCTTCTTTGCTAAATGGTTATTTGAGCGAATGTCGCAGATGGAAACACGCCTCGCCCGTGTTGAGGGGAAAGGCCCAGGCTGGTCTGCTGAGTCGACCAGCGAAGCCCGCAAATGCCTTCAGCGCAACGAGGCCGTCGCCAACGAGATGGAACTGGAAAACTGGCACAGGCTACTCTCTCAACGTGGGTAGACCTTGGTGTCCAAAGCCCCAAAGCTGCTCCGTCTCTAAGGCAGGTGACTGGGAGGCCCGGCGACCGACAGCGAAGTTCCGCCAGAGTCCGAGTCGCCAGTCTGCAGGTGCCGATGTCCGAGCTTCAGTCCAGCCATGCTTCCTTGGCAGAGGCCGGAGGGCTGAAAGGGCTGAGTGAGAGGTTTAGCCCGTCCTTTGAAGTGCAGAGTAGTGTAGCACCCGTTGCTGTCGGCGCGAGGAAGTGGCAGCACATGTCCTTCCAGCAGTCTCCACACTGTGCGGTGCTCATAGTCGGGAGCTTTGTACTCAGCATAGGCACCATGTGAAGAGGCGTTCGACTCTCACGCAGATAACGAAGTACATTTCCGGCGACGCACCGGAGGAGGACGGACACTCGCTTGCTTCACTGGAGAAGGTAATTAGGCGAATTCCTCCTTTCAGGACATGGCCACTTCCATGAAATCTGTGAATGCCTTGGACTGGCTGCAGCAGCGCGGGGTCCCGAGAGACTCGAGCGAAAGGAGAGGCTTGAGCGCACAGTGGAAAAGGCGTGGGAGCTCTCACGAAGGAGAAGGGGCACACTTTGGAGGCTGGGCCAGGGCTGTGGCTGGAGTGATGTGGAGCGGGCTAGGATGGCTGCAAGGCCCGCCTTCAACTCCTCGAGCAAGCGACCGGCAGCACAGAGGCTGCCCACATCACCAAACTTGGTCCTGAGGTTTGAGCCATCACGGAATGTTATGTTGTTGGCTTTTGCAGATCTTCCAGAAAGTCCAGAACCTCGAGCAGATCTTAGGCAAGCTCGATGTGGATGCCGTCAATGAGGCCAGAAGCATGTCGAGATCGAGTATGCGCTGAGCAGCATCTAGACTAAAATGCATGAAAAGGTTCCTCCACAGCTGATCATCGTCAAAGAAGATCAGGCGCTCGAATGGCATTCAGAATGGAGCATGACTTGCCTTAATGTCACAGTTGAAATCCATGTTGCTCTAGATGTTTGTCCAGGAAGTCTTCAAGCAGGACCTGCGGCGCGAGGTGTGCCGTGCTTTCCGTGGCATCATTGTGTAGATGCAGAGCAGCGGAATGCATGCCAGGTGCAGGAGCTGAAGGTGCTGGTCGGTTGCATGGAGGCTCCTTGCCCAAGGTGGATGGCCTTCGACGGTCACAAAAGACTGAGAAGGCATGCGTACCGAAAGAAACGCGAAAAGCGATCCAGCTGTTCAAGAGGGGCGCTGGCGTCTCAGATGAGGCAAAGGGTACGTGTGGCATCTGGTTTGCCGTCTACGTCTTCAACCTGTAAAGTTCGTGCAGGAGTTCATCACCGCCGGTGGCCTGAAGCTTTATGCAGATGTGGAAGCTCTGCGAGAGGCAGGCGTTGGAGAAGCATTTTCTTTTGGCTTTGCCCGAGATGACCTCGGGCGGCTTCTTGCAGGGAATTGATTGGCTTTGGTGGCTTTTTGGTTGGTGGCTTTGTCAGCTTTGCTCGACTCGAGCTGCTTTTCTTGATCTGGCAGCATGCACCTGCAGCACCGAATGACGTGACGAGTTCTGCTCAGCCCAGATGTTAGTACTCGTACAAATCCCCAGAAGCCGCAACATCCCTCGCACGCAGGTACGGCCACCTGAGTCAGCAACAGCTTCACAACCTACCCCTCGTGAACCATTTCCTCAACCATTCGTCCATCACGTCCAGCCATCCAGTACCCGTGCAAGCTGACATTGGGCCAGGAGTTGCAGGTGCGCCTGGCGGATGTGGAGACCAACTCCGTCGCCGTCTCGGAGAATCTCTACGTAATCAGCTATCACTGTCCATATGAGGCCCAGCAGCACGACAGCTTGAACTCCATGGTTCAGGACCTGGAGACGAAACAGGCAGCGCCAGTGCAGTGATGCCAGAGCAGCCAGAGCAGTGAGGGGTTTGTGTCGACTTGCGCAAAGAGCACAGGAGAGGCTTTCCAGCGCATTCCGAAAGCGCTTCGCCAGCGACGATGCCACTCAACACCCATTTACCTCGGTGGAGGGCAGGTCGAGTTTGCTGAGATGTCCACAGAACCAAGGCTGCGAGTGGCCTGGACGGGTTTGTGGCACCCCAGGGTTGGACGCATCCACCACCATCAGCTTGATCTCGCGTCAGAGAGCTTTGGGATCGGCTCTGCCAGAGGCCAAAGCGTGTGCCTTCTGGGACGTCTCACCCAGTGTTTCACCTGTCGACAAGAGCGTCAGATTGAAAAAAAGGCCGCAACCGTCGCTCGAAGGTCCACCTTCCCTTCTGTTTTTGCACCCTTAAGGCCGGGGGCCCCGGGGACCTCTTGGCTCGGCAGCACCCCACGATTGGAGTTAAGAAGCTTTAAGTGGAATGGAGTCGCGGTCTTGAGATAGTTCCGCACTTCGCTTGGACCATGATAGCATACGTACCAATCTTGAAGTGTTGCAGTGTTGCAAGAAGCGCCGTGCGCAATACTCGCAGCACGAACTTCAAGAACAATCTCTGCAGAGACTGCACAGTTGGGGACCTTTCGGTCGATGTGCTGATGGCGCCATCTGCCTTCGAAGAGCTCTGCCGTGAGCGAGATGTGGCTCGGACGAAACTCCGGTTGTGACAGAAGAAAGGAACAGCTGATTCAGATTTCAGGTCAAGCCCGAGGCGGAGCTCTTAATCGGCGCTCAGGGCCATGGCCGAAAGAGCACGATCACCCTGCTTCGATGCAGGAGTGGCGAGCCAAACTCGCCACACCGATCGTTGCAGACAAAAGCTTGCAAGAGATGACCGACAGCGAGATCGAAGATTACAACCGAAAAGTGCAAGAGCCTTTGATGCACCCACGCGACTGCTTGAACCACTCGTCCTCCACCACAACTAACAAGCTCTTACAGTTTGTTTTGCAGCGTATGGATGGGTTCGGTTTATTGATACTCTGTACAGACCTAACAAGTAGAGGAGAGTTCGGTCGCCTTCTGCGTGGGTGGCTTGTTTGCCCGATGCGGTTTGTGAGAGTGACAGATTTGCTGCGTCACGTACTGGTAGTTCTGTGACTCCATCCTGCTCTATGTTTCATTCTGCGTACCTTCGGTGCAGTATGTGCAGTTTCTCCAAGCTTGGCACACCATCTCAAAGGTGTCTAGACAGGCCCGAGCAGTCGCACAACACAACTTCGCAAGCTGAGGAGAGGGCGCAGGAAGTCAGAAAGGACCGTGCCCTCTTGGCGCTGGAGAAAGCGCAGGAGAGACTGCAATACAGTTGCATCGTAGTGTAGCGTTCCTGTCACCATTGAGACTGCATGGTCTGCGGTCACTGCAGGACGGAAGACTCGAGCGGAAAGCGACCAAGGACAGATTTTGCAGGATATCAACAGCTGCAGTCACAGCTCTCTGTCAGCGAGCATGATTGCTCTGTGCGCATCCGGCAGGTCTGGAACCAGCACGCGAAGGAGAGAGTCAAGATTCCAGCCGAGCAGGTCCCGCAAAGTCCCGCATGTCCCACGAACCAGCCAGAGGGGCCTAGGAGGGGTTCCAGAATCGCAGCTAGGCATGATTGAATCTCCAAGAGCACCGGTCTTTTGGAGGTGCCCGAAATGCTGGAGTCTCTCACCTTCGAAGTTTCGAACAACGAGGCTGGAGGGTTGAGGGATCCGTGAATTTTGGGGGCGCCACTTCTTGACAGATGCACTTCCTGCTGGGCATCTTCGGAGCGACCCAGGTGTGCGTAGCAGCGGCGTAGCTCCGACGAGCTCTCCTTGGGAAGCTTTTTTGATAGCGCTACTTTTGCAAGGGCTCGGACATTGACCTGGAGCACGAACTGACTCAAAACGACTGGCGGGCCAACTCAGCAGTTTGGATTCCGAGTGTGGTTGTTGGTGCGGTCACTATGGGCATCTGCGAGACTCTCAGGCACTGGCTGGTTGGGGAATGTCAGATCCTCAAGGCCCACTTTCGCTTGGGAACGCTGACGTGCACAAGAGCATTTCTATCAGATGGTACATTTCGCGTCAATCGTGCTCAGAGCGTGCCCAAATCCACATGTGCGAGGAATCTTACAAGTTCTTCTTCCGCAGGGAGGCCAGCCGGCCGCTCACAAGTTCACTTGGTAGGTTTTGTGGGCCCAGATGGTGCTTCAGCTAGTCAGCATGCCCTGCGAGTGCTCCAATGTCTTGCAGGAATGGGAAGTTCAGTACACGGATCAGCTTCAGAAGTTGACTCTCAAGGCCGGTGGCGGTTTGGCTGTGAAACTGAATTGCACCAGCAGCGCGAGGATCTTTGGACAACGAAGCTTTCCAATCAAGGTGCTGTGCAACAGCATGTCTTCAAGCAGCTTCTTGGCCACAGGTTCGTTGGGTTTCTGTTCTCAGGAGCGCACAAGATCGGGTGGTGGTGGACCACAGGAGAGAAGGCTGTTGCTACTGCACGCTTCACGAAGAGCTTCAGTAGCGTTCTTAGCTGTGAGAAGGCCGGCCAGGCCAGCGTCCTGCAAAAGTTCGTGGCGACCTGAGCAAAACCGGGCTTTCAGAGTGACAGCGCTCGGAAGCACTGCCCGCAGGCCTGGGGCGCTCAGTTTGGCACCCAGGCTTCGGCTTCAGACACTTGTCCGCAGCCGACTTCTTCGAGGCCGGAGGTGGAAGAGGAGTTGCTTGGAAAGATGGAGCTGGTCATCGGTCCTCGGTTGAAGGCGATCAGCTCAGCTCGGCATCCAGCTATCCTTCAGTATCCTTGCTTCAGGATGCAGATGGCAAGCAGTCGATGGAGTAGCAGTGATCCTGCACACTCCCGCTTCCACGCTTCCGCGCAGAAACACTTGCAACAGCCGAGCTTGATTGAAGCACCCCCGGATTTGTTGTCTTCCAGAAAGAGCAGATTCTGAAAGATGGTCCAGATGCTGTGTTGTGACCCTTGCTGGCAGTCTTTGTTTTTTGCACACGGCTATGGTTCAAGTGCTTCGGCTCTCACTTCGGTTCCAAGATGCATGCCGAAGCCAAGTGGCTCGCCTCATGACGATGATGGAGCACTGACTAGTTTTGCATGTAAAAGGTTGGGTACTGGTAGTTTAGACATTCAGACGGTGCACGACAGAAGTGATCGGATTCAAGGTTCGGACGGAACCTATGCAACAGCCTTGATTCAAGCTGCAACATCGGCCCTGCCGCACTTCCACTCATGCAGCTGCATGTGACGACAGTAATTACCTTGCCGTGACCTCGGAAGATGCCACCGGACACGCCTGGACGGATCATGTACTGAGGCAAACGGCCTTGCTGGTCTTCCTACAGTTTGGGGAGAAGGCGCCAGGGCCGCCAGGGGGGGGTGCCGGAGAACAGAAACGACTGGTGGGAGATGGGGAGGCCTTGCCGTCGCTCTTCGCGGCCCGCAAGGCCGGGGGGGTGTCGGAGTGAGTTTCTCTGTGCCGTGCTGGGATCTGCGCAAGAGCCTTTCCGACCCTTGCAAGGCCTGCCATGCCGGCAGCGGTGCGCTGATGCTTCTCTTGGACTCACGAGATCCCTTGGCAAGGACCGAATTCAGGAGAAGATCGGTTGGGTTGTGTGTGCTCGCATCTGCATCCCGCAGAGCCTACGTCTACCTTGTCGTGGTCACTTCCTTGACCATGACCTGGCGGCTGGTCAAGTGGGCTCGAGCCCCTGTCACCACCAGGATTGATCTTTTTTGAGACACATCTTGCGTTTTCATCACTGCCGACGTTTCGTTCTGCAGCTCCGCCACACGAGCGGCAGCATCTCCATAGCGACTCCTGACAGGGCCCAACGTGTGCGTTCCTGATTGTCCTGTCCTAACACTCAGGTTCCAGCTTTTCGCTTTGGTGCAGATTATGACGTAGGCCCGAGATGACAGACAACAGAGCTGTCAGTTCTTATCGTAGCCAGCATGAGCCCTTAGCCATCGCAATCGCGGCTCATTATCAACATGCAGTGGCAATCGGAGTGCTGTTTTCGGACCGAATTTATATTTGCGCCATGACTCTTTGTATGCATGTCATCGCGTTTGCTGATGCACTTGCCTGCACGGGCAGAACCAGTTCAATTGTACACAGGCAATTCGCATAAGCGCAATGTCCAGGTCATGAGTACATTCCTTTCGAGAGGGTGGGCTATTCATCCGTTCTTTCTTCACGCAGCATGAACCCTGTGTGGAAGCTATTCGAAAGGCATTTCCGTGTACTTGCTAATCGTAGCGACTTGGCAGCTCCCTTAGCTCGGGTGTGGTCGTGGATGTCGTGGCATCAGTGACGGTCCCTTCGCAGAGGTTCCACATGCAGGAGCCAGTCCGAGCTTTGGCCCCGCTGTTTTTCGCGGATCCCGTGTTGCCCTGAGCCTCGCCGGCTCGAAGGCCTCGTCGGGTGCGGGGCAATGTGGCGCCCGTGACTCAGGCTGGGGCGATCGTCGGCAAGTTCTGCTCCAAACGAGGCCGCCACAGATGCACAAGAACCCAACATCCCGAAAGCCTGCGGGAGGTTTTAATCGAGCGTGGTACGAGAACAAGACCATTATGGGGAGCGAGCGCACTCGTTGGGGATCAGCCTGTTCAGCCTTGACCTTATGTTTCGAAATCCTCCAGTTCCAGGACTCTTGCGGTCCTGGTCGTGGCTTACTTGAGGCGAGTCGGCAAGTGTAAAGCTCTTGCTTTCAGCTTTGCTTTCGGGCTTGAAGCTCTGCTCTTGCAGTCTGGATGCACCGGTCTTCCTCCCGCGGGTCTTGGGCTGGGTGAAACGCAGGACCCGGTTCTGATGTCCCTCCGCGCAAGCATCTGAGGCCATACTCGCAGTGCTGTGCGCGCTGGCCGAAGCGTTTGGTGGCTTCGCACTCAGAGCATCGGGCACATATCTTCTGACCTGGATGTTTTGGAGATTTTTGGAAGGAGATGAATCTTGAGAGACTGGACTTGTGTGCTGACGTTTCCGCCGAAGGTGATCTCTGGCTCTGAGTCCTGAATGTCGTGATAGCATACCAGAATCGTGCAGTGCCGGGAGCTCACATTACAGAACGACGAGAACCTGCAAGCCCCGAAGATTTTGCAGGTCACCTCAGAGTTTCATGTCTACACAACCCTTTAAAATTCATTCATGGGAAACTGCGGATGTGTGCTGGATGTGGCAGCTGAAGCTGAAGTGATTGCAACTCCAAAGACAGAGCTAAAGGTGGCGCTGGAAGATGGTGTTCATTCACAATCTTCGCAATCTGATGTAAACGACGATGCCGAAACTTCTGCAGGAGGTTCTGATGGAACTGCATCTGCGCACGGCTCTTGTGACATCCTGGAGCCCATGCCAACCTTACTTTTGTCGTCGAGTATCGATTCGTCCCGCAGTCTGGCAACCGTCAGAAGCGCTTCCACCGATTTTAATGGAACGTGGATTTGCTCGCGGGTCGAAGGGGCCTGGGAAGATTTTCTGCGCGAACGCGGGACTCCATGGGCAATGCGCAAAGTTGCCAAAGGCCTAGACTATGGAGTGGGCAAGCAGATGCAGACGATCGTCCAGCATGGAGATGAGTTAGAGATCGTCAACTACACTGCCACATGTCCTCCGAGGGAGGATAAGTGCACCATCAAAGCAGATGGCTCAGAGCATGAAGTTTTTGATCCAGATGGGCTGCATTACATGCAGAGGACCCAATGGGATGGCAAAGTCTTAAGGTCCGAGCAGGTCAACTGTGAGGGACAGCCACCCGTGATCCTGCAGCGATTCATGCAAGGTCATGAGATGTGTACAGAACGGATGACAGCCCATGGTGTGGTCGTCCGTCGATTCTATCGTCGCATTTAAGGCAGGGTTCGGATCCGGACCGCAAATTCAAGCATGGAATTCGCGTCCCTTGGGAGACTTGCCAGTTTTCGGGGGAGGATGTGAAGCCTGGCGCGGGATCGCCAACCAGGAAGCTTGCCCCACCCTGCGCATTTTCCGAAAAATCCGGCTGCTTGCCACGACCGGCGGCCGTGTCTGCCGTCTAACCAAGAGTTCTTTCTACTCGCAAAGAGCTTGGTCTTCCATCACGCACGCAGGCAAGACATTTGACAATGCCATCATTGCGATCCCTGTGGGCGCCCAAGCAATCGTTGCCAATGTCTCCGAATGTGTTGAGAATGCTATGGTTGAGACAGTGTAAGTGCACAACCTTACGAGGTCTTGGGTGGCTGGGCCTGTCCGGCATGTCAGACCTTGACACGTTTCTGTCTTGGTGCGCGATCCTAGAGCAATGACAGGCCTACTACCACTGGTGAAGTGGATTTTCGGCCGCTTTTCTCATTCTGATTGGTCGCCCAAGCACTGCCGATGCAACAGCTGTCAAAAAGCCTGTGCTGGCCGGCACGTCTGGAGCTCGATAACGTTTCGCTGCTCGGATGACTGATTATCCTTTGCTGTCATTCATGGAGCCCAGCCACCATGATTCAGAAGCCTGTGCGCACGCTGCCAACATCCAGCCTGTCTGAGATCTGCAGACTGACGAGATTCCCAGTTTCTGCGCCCATATGACCATCGGAGGGAACACAGTTCTCTCATAGGCACCGCCTTATTCATGCTTGGAGACGTCGCCGGCCATGGCTGCTGTGACTCTACAAGTCCCCAGTCTGTCGAAGGTGACCCCAGAGGTTTTCATGAGGAAGCACGCAAGCCTGCTGCTGCACGCTGTGAGGAGCAAGCAACATGTGCAGAGGAGGTGCCGTCTTCGTGCAAGGATGTTGTCAAATTTTGTTGTATGACACCTGCGTGCGTAACTGAGGACGAGTTGGACCTCCGATGGCTTGAGGCACGAAGGCGTCATACGAAAAGGATAGCCGCCGCGCCAAGCTTCGATGAGGACAGGCTGTCTTGGGCTGCACGGCTTGGTGAGACAGCTCAGAACTCAGAGCAACGGAGCACGAAACGTTGGGTTGTGCAGCATCATCCTTCATGAGTGCTGTCAGTTGCTGCAGTGGGCGGGGCCACAGATGGCCTGCATCATGAGCATCATCCGGTCTCGACTCTGTTTTCCCTTCCGGGGCCCGCCCAGACCTCAGAATTTAGACATTACACTTCAACCCCAGCGCTTTGACAATGATGCTCATGAAGCTGGCCCAGAATGCAGTGGGGGAAGCCTGAAACACACGTCGAAGATCAGCTTCATGTTTCGACGGCTCGGGTGCAAAGAAGCGCAAGCTTCTGGCTAAGGGTCCCGTGCATGTGCCGCTGACCCGGTGGTGCTGACCCCCATGGTTTCTTCGCCGATCCCTGTGGACATGAAGGATTGGGGGGCTCCTGCCCCAGGGTCCGCAAGGCCAGCATGAGCATCAGCAGCGCCTGCGCCAATCCCGAACAAAGATGACATCAAGAGCCCTCAGACCAGAAAGCAAGTCCTGATAATCCTCATGATGGTGGCTTCAAAGGTCGCTGGGTTTCCAAATATCTTGCTGATGCTGCAAAAGGACCCGGGTGCGAAAGACTCTCATGATGCATTATATGGGGGTGCCCGCCCGGCCACGCGCCTCCTGGATTTAGCGAGCACATGGGGAGGGAACCGCGCAAGATATTCCAAGCACGCTGGACGACGGCGGCGGGGCTAGATGATACGTGGCTTGCACCGTGACCCCTGCAGATCATGTCCCGGGACATGTGACAGGCGTGTTGGAATCTGACGAAATTCGAGAATCGTGGCTACATTTTGCGATGCACATCGTCTTCCAGCCCTCCCTTTGACTGCGACATGCTGTCGCTGTGACTTGTTTACGCGTCCAAAAATCGCTTCCCTGCCACAGTTCTGTGCACATTTGCGCTGGAAGCCTCTTCCCGCCACAAGGCCGGGCATAGCTTGTAGCGGTGCTATACACACACTGTGCAAAAACGGTCATACAATGTCATATGCGTGCCCTTATACGACCAACAACGAGCCTGAAGCACAATCCGGCACAGTCTTTTCGTGGCCTGCTTGGTGGCTACCACCAGTTGTGAAGATCTGCCAAGTCGCTGGACGGCATCGCCTGTCATGCAAGGGCCAGCGCTTTGATCGGGGAACTTCAAGTTGTGCGCGAGCTTGGGCCCCCGTGGCATGGTGACGAAGGCAGTATGCAGGGTCGCTGCAGTGGCGCGGGGGTTGGGCCGGTCTGCAAAGAAAGTTTTCAGCGGCCTGGCTGTGGCGATGATTTGATTCCTCAACTGTGAGTCCAAGGCCCAGACATTGCGCCGCCTGCCCAGTGCAGACATCTGTGTGAGGGAGCCGGTTTTGCTCTTGCACCTGTGCAGCCAATGCCACGAAGCCTCCAAACCTTCGTCCCCCAATGCTTTGTCGCTACTGAGGCGATTCCCGCGAGCGCAGCGAGCGCAGCGAGAACGAGCAAGGCCAGTCCCGAGCTTTCAGTTTTGCACGCGTTTTCGGTTGAGCATGGTTGAGCTTTGCTAAGGCGAGCGCTGGCTTGAAGAGTTCGCTCAGCTCCGATGTGAATTCAGGTAGGACAGTGTCTGTGTGCACTCGACGGAAGCGGGAATGGGGAAGATGCATGATGACCCTGAAGTTCTGAAGCAGTCCGGAGGTCTGAGTCCGGAAGAGGCTGGAAAAGTGTGCTTGCATGAGGCGGCGATCCAGGAGGTTGGAGAAGCTGGAAAACACAATGTGCAGATCCCGGAATGCATGTTGCGATTGCTTCTGAACAAGTTCCAGTTACTTCCAGTTAATGGGATGACCTGGTCGTTTCCCTAGGATGAGTCAAGGACCGAAGGATGTTCCGGTGCGAGAGTCCGTGGTTCCATCTCCTTCACAGGACCTCACTAACCCAACGGTTTGATTGTAGTGGCATGACATCAAAGCTTGACCAGCCTAGCCATATCTGTCCGATGCAAGCAAGGCATTCAGTGACATCCAGTTGCATCGAGGCCGAAAGCTCAGCAGAGCGCATTCCCTAGAGCCCTAGAGCCAAGAAGAGTCCAAGGCCCAGCACCACTTGGCTAGCCTGACCCGGGAGCGTGACTTGTTGATGGATTGCCTGTACCTGAGCCTTGCTCCCTCCTGCAACTCTTGACTCACTCGAGTCCAAGGCGTTCAGGAGCTGCTGTTGCTGACGGCCTCGGACATGCAGGACGGACGGAGATGGCATGACATGGGCGCTGCTTCAAGCAGGAAGTCCGCACAGGATCCCGCCCAGCGGCATGGTGGCCCTTCGAAGGCGAGAGCCGGAGACTAAGCATGACGGCCTCTTCGGAGTATGAGAACTCATCGGAGAGTGCAGGAAGCATGGCAAAGCAAAGGCAAGCGATGTTGCACATGTAGTGATGTTTGTTTTGGTAGAGTAGTGCGAATTTGATAAGCCTCGTGTCTGGAACAGACGGCGACACATCCGAGCCGGTGGCCAAAGATGTGATGCCCTTGGATGACAGATGAGAGCTTCCACTTGGACAGATTTGGAGTCTAGAAAGCGAAAGATGTCTTCAGAAACAGGTTGCCGCCGGAGGAGCCACACAGCGTGGACTGAGTGAGAGAGCAGCTGAGGGGACAGCTTTGCCAGGAGCTCGGGCAACACCTCGCTCTGTGAGGCATCAGAGACTGCCCTTGTCGGACCATTGTGCCTGGCACGATTAGTGGCAGGAACAGCGCGTCTCCACGTGTGCACTTCTCAGCCTAGCTTGTTGTGCAGTCTGCTCCGGTTTTCTTTGCGCCCAGGACCTTCTGAAGGCTCCGGAAGGTGCTCGCAGAGTGCGCTTTGATGACAAACTCCAGGATCTCGACAAGACTTGAGCACAAGAGAAGCAACAGGGGGACGAACATGGCCATCAGGAGTCGCCAAGATTTCCGCGACAGCCTCCGGACAGGCACTGAGCCAAGGAAGACTGTCCTGATGAGCAATGTCGGTCCTACACACCGCCAGAATTCGAGATAATTTGAGCAGGCACAGCGCTTCATTGCTTTGGCCTTGGAGTGCGCTTCGAATGACACACCAACGACGGTGCGCACATGATCCCAACCAAGGCGTTGGAATCCTATCCTGAAGCATCGTCCGACCTCGGCGGCCGGGCTGTCAAAACACGTCAGTCAGATGACGTGATGAGATGGAAAGTCCTGTCGCCTGTGTGACTTGAATGACGCAGGTACGGACACCGGAAGCGACTGTCACACAGGCAGGATCGTGTCAATGCCCCACCATTTTCAAAGCGTGTATGCCATGCATCGTCAGATGAGGCGGGCGCCTCTGCCGTTGACGCAAGGACGTGGCGTCTGAGTTGATTCCGTGCAGTTCTCGCCGTGGTGCTGTTGCTGTGGCTGTCAGGACTTCCGAACTTGAGCCGGATGCAGGATGTGCAGACGAAGAAGCTCAGGCATCAGTGGGCTAAAAGCTGAACGAGCCATGCGCAAGTGCTGCCTTTGCCAGGCCGTGGCGCAACAAGGAGATTCTGATGAGTCAGATCCACAGATAAATTTCCCAATTGCTAGATTCAGTGTTGAGCGCAGTCACGTGAGGCTTCGACGCGGTGCCGAGGCAAAGGAGTGTCGAAGTTTGATAGTCCCTCAGTCCCTCAACACCAACGCCTAAAACTCTGGAGAGGAGTGTCTTTTCAGGTTCAGGAGCCGCTGGTGATGACACCACATGTCTGCGCCGGGCACGTGCAGCGTGTGGTCCTGCAAGAGGCTTAGTAATGCTCTGCAAGCGTGTGTGGTTGTATCAGCGTATCTATCTCTGTATCCATCTGTTTATCCGTCCGTCTATCCACCTGTCTGTCCATCCCCGGCGCGTGGCGGGGAAGAGGGGGGGCATGATTGAATTGCATGTGTCAAGCTTACTTACACTTCTGTCCTGATGCAAATCTTCTTGGGATAAGAACTGATACACATTTTCTCGGAATGGGAACTCAACTCCACGCCAACATGAGCTTTTGGGAGCCAAAAGGTTATGAGCCATATGTGTGCATATTATCTTGAATACATAATCGTGTGTCCGTATTTGTACACGTGTTTGTGTGGTGTATGCGTGTTCCCAAACCCATCCTAAACCCGTCCCAAACCTTTCCAAAACCCGAAACCCTCAACCCTTCCTACGCCCTTGCAGTGCCGCTGCGACTTGCTATTGTAAGCTGTGAGAAGGCTGTTTGCATATGCGGCCAAGATGGGTATGCATGCCGGTTCCAGAGCCGTGGGTAATCATGGGTCAGTTCCACGGCTCCGTTTGTGTTGCGATCCTGCCGCCCGAATTCAGATGTGCCGGAGCCGTGTACAGTTGCGTGCTAGGTTTCTTGTATGTATGTCTGGAGACTCCTTGTATCTCCTGGTATCTCCTGGTGTCTTTCAGTGATACGTCGAGGCAGTCGCCGCCGTGGCAGCCTGGGCAACCTGGGCAGCTTGTCCGCTGGCGTCTGTTTGCTGTCGCGCGGCTCTCCTGGACGCCTCGCGAGTGCAGCGAGGCCCCAGCCTGTGTTGGCAGCCCAAGCACGGGCTGCTGGAGGTGCGGCGACCGGCGGGTCGTGCAAGCAACGACAAGCCTAAGCTTTGCAAGGTGCTGTTTGCAACCATCGAGGCGCAGTGCACAGAGGTTCAAGCGCCCATCTGTACAGAGCGACAGAGCGATCTGAGAGGCTGCGCTGGGCAAGTCCGCTGGGGTGAAGGACCTCCGCACTCGGCGCTTGCCCCAAGGCATCGAATCAGTCGTTTTCCGAGCAGGAGCAGCCTTCGCTCGTGTGCCGGCATGGTGCCCAGTTGGTGCTCACTGATAACTATGTCCAGCCTTGCAGCGAGGTTGGGCCAGTGCCGCGCGGGATCGCTTCCAGCCCTTTGGGGCGCATGTCGTAGTGTTCGACAGCTTTGCGGCATTGCCGCCTTGGGCAGTGCAAGGCGAGCTGCGGCCAGTCTGATCCAGATGAGACGAATAGTTTCTTTGGCTCGGGCTGAAGACGACGTGACGAGCTCCGCAGCTGAGCACTGACTGGCACAACAGAAACAGAAGGAGTTTCGCAGCTTTGCCAGCTCTTCGGGGATTGGGCCTGGGCCGGGAGACCGGGAGTTTCCTATTCGTGGTGCCCCGCCATCAATTCACGGGGGCATTCCGGCGTGCGTCAAAATCGTTCAGGGGGTTCGACTTGAGAGGCGAAGTCCTTTTTGTCGCCGACCCTTGCAGATTTGGAGAACGCAGTCTATGACCAAGCTTGTTTCACATGTCCACTCTGCGAGCGTCGCATCTACTGAACTGGCCGTGTAGCGTGATGTGTTAGTCTCCTGGAAAAGGATTTGTTCAGCAGCATGGTTAATGAGCGACGTGTGAACCTCTCGGCTGAATCGGAGCATTCATTAATTCAAATGTTGAGCTGCGTGAACAAACACCCACTTCTGGACCTCAGCCAAGAACGACATGTCAGATGCTTCCAGCAGATGCAGCATACAAACATTCAAGCAGATTGTCCAATGCTTTTAGAAACATGTGCTGCACATCGGTCCGTGATTCTGCATTTGGGCCCTGCTGCTGCAGGACAGTTGAATGTCTCACAGATGGAAAGCCGCGCTTGGGGGCATGGAGGGTGTCTGCAGGTTTCCGACCTTGCCGTGCATTGTCATGACCTTCATGGTCATGTAAGCCAGTGTCTGCACTACAAGGCTGCCGCTACGTGATGTTTGGCACTTTGCCAGTGCATATTCGCTGAGCTAGTTACAAGAATGTCCACCGGCTGCACAAGCCCAGGATTTGTTGGCTGCATTTCTGAAACACGACAATAACAATAGGACATCAGTCCTTTGTGGGGTGTGACAGGCACAATGCCAAGCCCGTGCTTGCCTGAGAGAGTCCTCGCTGAAAGCGTTGCCATCAGCTTTGCAGCCGTCTGTCATGTGGCACGACCCCAAGGCGGTGTGTTGATCCGGAGGCGCAGCAACTTGCACATATGCAGAGTGCAAAGTATTCGCAGCATTCAGTTGCGCTCAAGGATCCGGAATGGGCTGCTCCAGTTGCCAGAGATCTTCCGAAGGTGGCATGCCTTGGTGATGCCTCATGGTCTCTGTCTAAGCTTCGTTGAGGCGACCTCCTTCGCAAGGCAGACCTCACATCGTTTTGAGCAACACATCAAAGATTGCAGTCCACAGTCATTCGTAAGGTGCTTCTAACAGGTGCCGTAATGTGTCGCAATAGGAAATTTGACATCCGTGGAGTCGCAATGAGCCATGCGCTGTGCGAATCCTCCCGTGCGTGCGACCGCAAGAACGTGGGCCTTTGGGTCTCTACGAACACCTTCGCCACCCGTTCCGATTCCTTCCATGTGTGAGACTGGAAGCCTAAGCCGGAGCTGGAAACGTTGTTTGCCGCTGGTGGCCCTAGGAGGTGGGTGATCGTGAGACCGGCATCGGCCTTGCGGATTCTCAGCTTCTTTGTGTGGCTGTGCTGTAACAGGAGTGCAGACAAAGCGGGGCCGAAGGCAGCAGAGCTCAGAGATCCGGCATCCTGCGGATCTTGAGGATGAGGAGGCCTTGAGGCGTCTCTACCCTGTTTGCGTGCTATAAGAGTACTGCAGTGTGCAGACATGTGCAGGCCAGGCTCTGAAGGTAGACAGGAGAGCAGCTGAGGCAGCTGTTCCAGTCTGCATTGTCTGCGGCGGCTGGAAGCAAAGGCCTCCCCAAAAAGGAGTTCGCGGTCCTATGCCAGTCTCTCCTGCACATCGACCTCGAGTATCGTGAGTTGGAGCGCATCTTCGAGCTGGTGGTGACCTCTGCCCCTTGGCTGGAAGGCAAGTTGGGGAGACTTCCCGGATGTTAAAGCACTACAACGTGTTGAGGAAGGGCGCCAAGTCATGACGGAAGATCACTTCGTGAAGACAGTTCAGCGGCGTTTCTTCTTGCGGGGCATCCGACGGGTGGTGCAGCTTCCGGACGCGCAGCACCCGTCACTACCCAAAGATTTCAACCTGGACATGGACACGGCAGCGAACCACAGATCCGACCCATGTCCTTAAAACGCAGCAAAGCTGTCGAAGGTTCGCAGCTTGTCGCAGCATGTAATTTTGTGCTGGTTCCGTTCAGCATCTACTCAGGACACGGATCCATTCGTTGGTCCTTACGCGAAGATACGAGACGCTTGGACCTTCCTTGAGCAGTGTTTCTGTATTTTTCATGCTTCTTGACCGACCTCTTGGGTTGTAAGGCGACAAGGGATCACGTGTACCATGGGCGCTACACGGTTGATCGACAGAATTGGCAAGACAGTGTCATAGACACAGTTGTGCAAAGGACAGTGGAACAGGCACGCCCCAGGATGGTTTTCACCTGTGGTGCAATGGGTGTCGGTAAGGGCTATGCGTTGGCCTGGATGTCCCAGAAAGGTATATTCCCTTTGGAAGACATCGTACACATTGATCCGGATCACTTCAAGCAGGTGATGCCTGAGTGGCCGGCATTTCTTGAGTATGGACGCGAGCGAGGGGATCCTGACATACCCGGCAATCGCTGTCATCGCGAGAGCTGCTACATGCAAGAGCTTGCATTGGAGGAGTCCATGCGGCGATCGCAGCACATTTGGGTTGACGGGTCTTTGCGCAACTCGGCTCTCAATGTCATGCGTTACATCTAGCCATTTTTGACGTTGATTTGCCATACAGCGTTGTCGACAACTGCCAAGCATGCGAGGCAATGCGGAGTGGTTTGTCAAAGTCTTCAGCGACATTCGCCTGCGTTACCCAGCATACCAGATTGCGATTTTCAAAGTCACGGCGCCGGCCGAATCCTCAGTTTGCGAGTTCGAATACACAGCTGGACATTCAAGGAAGGGACGGCTAGCCTGTTCCCGTTTCTCTCAGGAAGAGGTCATCCGGAAGAGGGTCTCTGAACGCGCCAAGCAGACCGGCCGAAGCATTCCTGAGAGTATGCTGGTGGCAAGCATCGGAGCTGTTGAAAGGCTGGGCCTCTGTGTGAGCCAGAGTCGATAGGCAGTTACGCAGCTCAGAGCTTGCCAGGTCAGTGCTGATGTTGACTCCGCATGCAGACTTCTTGGCCAGTATTGACAACTCGGAATCCACGCCGAAGCTCCAGTACTTCGCAGCAGTTGACCGCTCCGGCGACTGGCAACGCATTGCGACGAGATTTGCGCATATTCTGCCCGCAACAGATGCATTTCCAAAGAAGCTCTCACCATTTTTCGTTTCGCAACTGGAAGTCTGCCCAAAGTTGCAGCTCCAGGAGCCCCTGAAATGTCGCACCGACGGCGTGAACAGTTGCCAACGCGGCGTTTTAATCATGCGTGGCCTAAATTTCGAAGTGAAGCTGTCCCCGTCAATCCGTGTGACTCTGGACCCCGAGACACGCCGCGTTGCGAACATCCACAAGGACGCTGTGGCGGTGGCGTATCTCCATCCACTATCACGGGTTTCCGAGGTAGAAATGGCAGAGCTCAGCTACGCCGAACGTCAGGTCCTCAATTTGGGCGCTTTTGCCAACTTCAACTTGGAAGATCAGCTCGTGGCTGTGAATTCCGTGGCCTCAACCACACAGCAGCGTCAGCCTGCTCTGCTGGAGCCCCGAATGCATGGCTTATAGTGTTGCATAGCCCGAGTTCTTCGAGTGTTGTTTGGGAGATTTGGTCTAGGTCTGACATGTTGTAGTTTTCGTTGCAGCAACATCCAGGAGTTTGGCTCCGCCTATCCCGTGTCCGAAGAAGAGGCAAAGTCTCTCCCAGAAAACAGATGGGCGCCGCTAACGCTCCAGCACATGAGGGAGGCTGGCGGTCAAAGGTTTGCGTTCCTCACGCCTCTGGAGAAGTTGGCCAGCCGCCGGGTGAGTGCCAACAGTGGGTTCTTATTCGAAATCCTGTCGAAAGGGGAGACATCGTATCTTTTCTTTCCGGTCATATCTTCATTTAGCTAGACTGCTAGGTGCTGACGTCGAAGAACGACATCAGCATTGGTATGCAGCAAGTATCGTTTCACACAGACGGGGTGCTCGGCGTCGGACAAGAAACAAGTCGCAGGCTGTGTTGGTGCAGAAGCTTCCAGACGCACGAAGACTGCGTCGTCCCTGCAACCGCATTGACTGGCCGAAGGCCACAACACCTTCCTCTACAACGACACTCGACGATGCGAGCGGAGGTGCTTCGAGCTTCAGTAGTGAGAGAGGTGTGCGTAGAGTAGACGTTGCCATTCAGTGGACTTGGGAAGAACAGGATAAAGTCTGCCTAACGCCATAGTGCCTTTCCACGGTGCGTCGAACAGGCATGACTTCTCGCTCGCCGTCGTACAAGGTGGACCACATCGGGCGGACCGTCAAGTCTACGAAGCTCCGCCACGCCTGGACGTTGTACCTCTGTGAGGCTGAGGTCAAGGTGGAACTTGAGCACAGCCGGCTGACTGGCAAAAAGAAGGTTCTGGTTGATGGGAAGCTGCTCTTCTCAACCACAGACAAAAACCTGCACTGGTGTTGGGAGCATCCAGTTTCCAAAGCTCGAATCACATTGAACTCGGAGAACGGCAAGCACGTCCTAAGATGTGAGGAGCCCGAGATTGCCAAAGACGCCATAGAAGGAGATTCAGACAGATCCCCAGCTGTGGCGTTTTCCAGCTTTGAGCCCGAGACTTACGTCACAGAGCCTGTGCTAGAAGAGGCTTCAATGCAGGGAGAGGAAGCCGCGGACAATGAACTATTCTCCTCTGGGTATTCTGACAGTCCTGTCAGACAAAATCTTGCAAGCAAGTACGCGAATTGTGAGAACGACATGCAGGACCGAGATGATATTGCGCCAGCAGGTTGATGGCACGAGGTGTTTATGTTGACGGTACAGACTCATTGGCACTCTGTGAAACGATGACAGGGATCATGCGGTGGGGACAGGGGAACTTTGCGGGGCTATTGTAAACTCTTCTAGAGCCCCATTGCACAGAAGTTCTGGGTCGCGAAGATCGGTCTGGCAGGCTTGGATGTTGTCCACAACGCTGTTTTCAGGACTACGATGCCGAGATCGCAGAGGAGGCCAAACCCTCGGTTCCGTCCGGGCCTCAGCCTGGTTCTGAACTTTGACTCGCTCGCTGCGCTTCCAGATGGAGGTCGTACCTTGTGACGCGCCCTCAGCGTAAAAGTGCTCTTCAGGCTCGATGCTGACAACAGTTTGTCGCTTTTAAATGCCCAACATCCGCCTCTGGCTGGGAGCAGTTTCAGGAGATATCGGCAGAGACCGCGCGACTGAATGCCTTGCTCGGTGTTAAGGATGCGCAGATAGCCTGCGACCCAGTTCCGGGTGACTGTTGGGGCATTATGGGCGACATTCGTTCTTTCTCCCAGGCTGCCTTGCAAGATGAGCTGCGGAGATGTGCTGTGGGGAGAGAGGCGTCTCTCCAACAGGGAGCGGCAGCGACAGCGAGAAGCGCCGAGAAGCGGCGGGCGAGCAAAACACTGACTTCCTGGCGGTCAGGCCAGTGGACCCATCGAGGCGGTGTCGAGCACCCAGAGATGCGGTGTGGCCTACGTCCAACTTACCATTGCTCGTACTTTTCCCAGAGATGATAGAAAGGCCAACGGTCGAGATGGAGGTCACAGTGCCCGTGCCCCTAAGCCCCATTCAGCAGCTGGAGGCCTGCGACCTTGAGCTTCCTTCTCGCAGAAACACCCTCGGCCCTCTGCCTTGCAAAAAGGGCCCATCGGCATCGCCATCGCCACAGTTGCCACCTCCGCAGCTTGTTGCAAGCGTTGCCTCGGAGCACTTCCTGGCCCACCGCTTAGTCATGGACGGTGAGACCTTGACATCGAGACCTGACCCCATCGGGCTTCATGTTGTTTTCAGGTTGCAGAGCTGCCGTCAACTCCCATCCTTTATCCCAAGGCCAGCCGTGCCTTGTTGGTTACTCGTCAGCTACAGCTTTCAGGTTGCAATAGTGTTCTGTGTGCTGCGTGCCCTTTTACTTCCGTCGCGGCAGCTGCTAGAACTGCTACTTCCCGTCAAGCTCCAGACGACAGGTCAAGACTCTTGTAAGCATCTTTTTCGTCCCTCCCTTGTTCAGCTGCAACAGCTTCTTCGTCAAGACACCGACCCTGCGACCAGGCGTTCAGTACTTAATCTCAGGATGCCAGTATACCCCTGTGCTTTGGCACTCAAGGCGCTGAAAAGGGCTGCAAAGGCGTTCCCACATATAGAGTACTCGTGGCCAATCCGCGCCATGTCTTCCGATGTCCAGTGACGCCATGAAGCTGATGAAAGGATATTGTTGCGATGACGGTTTCCGGTGAGGAACACTTCTGCCCTCATTCCAGCATGATACCCCACCAACACTTGGCTCTTACAAGTCTCACCCGTCGTCTGGAACCTGCTCAATGCAGCCATGCACCAGGGTGACGCTGATCTGCTGCCAAAGCCCTCCATGGACAGCACTCCATTCATGAGGATGTTGCCGTTGACTACTCCAGAGTGTACTTTCAGGGGCTACCGAGGGTCCTAGAGAACGTCCAAACTACCGCCACGTGCCTGCAACCCCAGCAACATTGCTGAACACCAAGTCTTAATCCTTCCCAACAGAGAGCAATCAACAAGCATAGTTCTACCCTCTTCCGCGTGAAAGGTGAAACAGATGTAACCAGCTCATATTGGTTGGCTCCTTCCGATGGAGTCACGCAACACGCCGCCACAGGCGACGCCAACACAAGCGAAACGTCTGGGACAGCGGAGCCCGGCGATGCCGTAATCATGGTTGAACAAACGCGAACTGTGCGGTCTTGTGTTACCGTATCCTCTGGCATGTCTGCACTACTGTCATGACCCACAAGATGCTCAGACTGATCCACCTGGTGAAGTTCTCATGGCCCCAGATGTATACGCCGATCAGAGAGAGCAGGAAATGCAATCATGACTCGGGCATCGCTTTCATCAAGCAGTCACTCAACATGTCTGCTCCAGGAACAGGTTGTACCGCAGGAACCTCACCTGCTATAGCTTCGTGAGAGTGCTTGGCCCTCAATCGCAAGTGCCTTGTACGCCAGGCATTACCTATGAAGAGTGAGCAGTTGAACGCAGGACAAGTTGTCAATGCATTGTGTGTCCAAAGCAGGACATGTCGTCACAACTTTGCCCATAACGGCGAGAGAGCTCTCGCCAAAAGCAGGTTATCAACAGCAGCAATTCTTTCATTATCTGAAGTGGATACTGCCGTCAGTGTTTGTCGGCTGCTGTGCCAGCTCACAGTTCCCCTGTTATCACAGGCATGATCAGTATGGATTCGACCCCCATCTTCTTGTCCGAGGGCTTCGGACCATCCATCCAATGTAATCCAACTTCTGGAAACTTGTCGGGGTTCCTGGCCCTCCCTGCCAGGGTTCCTCAGATGTGATGCGTAAGTTTTGGAAGGACCCGTGGAGGACTCTATGCCGTGTGGTATTCCGGGATCCACGTACACCTTGTCAGAATCATCAAACTCCAGGGTCCATCGGCCGTAAACAGTCTGCCTCGCGGATGATCAATTTTTATAGCCATGTTGATTGTGAACATCACGGTACAAAGGCGTTTCTGCGTTAGACGTGATTCTCGAAGCTGTGCATACGTGAGTGGCATCAAGACTGGTAGCGAAACGATTCATCAGCTGAACCGACGCCGGAGGCACATTGGTTTCGGAGATCAAGCCAACTTGACCTTGCGCAAAAAGGCCCCAAGCGAGATGCCCCACGACCCCCCCCCCCCCCCCCTTGCAACATATCCTCATCAATCAGCCTACGGCCCTTAGAAGAAGAATTGCACAGTGACACAAAATCAGACCTGCAATGACAGCGTTGCAACGATCCCTCAGCCAACAACTGTTTTGCTGCTTGCTCTGATTGCTCTCTTGTGAAACTCGTGCCCCGACCACGGATGCGTGCGACACAACGACGAACAGCCGAAGAGATCTTGAAACAATAGATCTGGCCGGCTTGTCCTCAGCAACACATTCTCCGATCACATCTGGTGCTGGAACATCTGCGAATACCGGCTCCAGAGCTATCTCCAGATCAAGACAAGATACACAAGTCTTGCCCGCTTTGTGTGGAGTCAAGCACGAAAACAGTCTCACGATCTGCGACTGCAAGGTCATCTGAGGCCACCTCCCTGCTGCCAGCACCTGGTAGCCCGGTTTTGCCCCGATCAGATGACCAAGTCTCCAAATCTGGCCCGGCATAGTGATTGGCAGCGATTCGCAACCGAAAGAATTGAAGTCGAGAATAAAGTGTGACTACCCCTTGGTTGTGTACGAGGACGGACCAACCACAAGACCCTCTATCCAATGACCCTCTGCATGACTTTGTATTCGGGTTGCCCACGGAAGCGTAGGTCACACGTCTTTGTCGTACAGTGCCAACTCACTCCGAAGTAGCGTTGCACCTGTGCTGAAACCGGCCAACGGTCGAAGGATCATGGCCTTCTGTTGCTGTGTGCTGCACCTAAGAATCAACAACTAACTGACGCACGGTTCGAGTGATAAACTCACCACCCCTATCAGTATGCACACGCAATAGCGGGAATTTCAATTTCAGTCGGTTCAGAGCTGCAATGGTATGATTCGGCGCTCCTGCAACCTCGCCCTGATTCTCACGCGGAAGAAGCTCTACAAATGCTAACCTTCTAGTCTCGATACCTTCAGGAGCAGTCAGAGTCAAGGCTTTAAGCCGACTTTAGCACAGAATGCATGTTTGATCCTCAGCATCCACTCTCCACCAGAAGCGGCGTAGAAGTCACCTCCCTGGCAAATGCACATGGGGGAGTGTGAGCCAGGCGAAGCCGGCTGTGAATCCGCTGGACCTTGAGGCCGAACAGCTTCGATTGTTATCAGCATCGTCGCGAAGAAATGTGTTCACACACGAGATCACGCTATCTGTCGCTTCTGAGCCACAGGAGTTGGATGTGACCCACCGGCGGGGGCCTGCCGTCGCTCACTTTGCTCCGGCGCCTGGTGGTGTGCTGAGATTGTCAAGCGCGCATGTAGTTCTAGTTTCGCAGTGCTCCAGAGACCGAGGAGCACAGGCATGCGCTCAAGGCTGCATGACTCCGCCTCAGCTGGGGGCCCGGAAGACCTGCAGACTTCTGCAGACATGCAGAGCTGAAGCCGGTCAGCGACTGTATGAGGCCCTCTCCACTTCTGGTCCAGCGCTACGTTTCGACGCCGCGGCGGTGCGCTGGACCAGTGCAGGTTCAGCTCTAAGCCATGAAATTCATTTGCCACGTGGCTTCAAACATGCCGCCAGGGTGACGTGGCAGCGGCAGAGCAACGGTGTGCAGAAGGAGCTCGAGGCATGTGGCACTTTAATGCCAATTGCCTGGTGTCGGTACCCGAAATTGACCCTGATGATGGCCATGTCGCATGCAGTGTTTCTTGAACTTTCGATGAAACCTGTAGAGACAGTCGAACGGCACAAATGTGGCCCGTGGAAGGTGTAAGTCTTGTTTTTGTCAGTTCTTCGAGAAGAGCGGAGATTCTCAGACAATCAATTCCAACAGCGTTTCTCGATGTCAGGGAGGGCCGGCAGCATGCCGCCTGTACACTGGGCCTCTCCTGGGCCAGCGTGGCCTTGGCCCTGAGTCCTCCGAGACTCCTCTTCCTAGTTCGTAGTGTTCGTAGTCTGTCCGCGGACTGCAGAACTCCGAGGCAGGAGCCGAATGCTCGTTCTTCCGGAAGGCACGGACGAAGCTCGGCGCCCCCTCAGTGGCCCGGATGCACGACAGCAGCGCTAATGAAGTCTGCATTTTTGCGGAAGGTTGAAGGCTTTCAAGGGGTCCGCTGAGAGTTCCGCTGAGGAACGCTCGGAGTGTCTCCGTACAGCCACAGCCCTGCTGGAGCCTCCATGTTTTGCCTTCATTATTTGCAAAAGTTACGTGTATGCATGCGATTCTTTTTCTGTGGAAGGAGCCAAAGGAGCCGCACACCTGGGCGTGCGACCCGATCAATAACGCCCAGACGGGATGCACGCCAGACGCAGGCCAGCCTGGTGCGAGCTTGAGCTTGAATTGCATTTGAGAAGCTGTTCAGGTGCAGGCCCAGGCACCCGTCTTCCAGATGTCGCGGGCCAAAGTTGCTCCAAGGCATGTCTCTGCCCGCGCCGGAGCTTTCTTGAATCTCCCTGAGGCCGCCAACCCGAGCAGTGCCGGCGGTGCCTGCATTACAAGGCAGCCTGAATCCAATTGACCGTGGCGAGTGGACGACTCGCCCAGCTTGAGGTTGCCCACCTCCTTGGCAGCCAGTTCCTGAGTGGAGGCGACACAGCGTCGGAACGTCCCGTGCTCCTGAGTGGAGGCTCCTTCCGCACTGGGCACAGGGGAATGCGTGCGACGCTCACTGCGATGGCGTTGCGACGGCAAAGTGGGGGGGGGCCTTGAATCGACCTTGCGACCGGCAAAGGCCCGGGTCCGGCCTACGTCCTGGTGCATTGCTGCCTCCCGCCGGAGCCTGAAGAGCAGTTGGTGTTCACTCTTCAGTTCACTTGTGGCTTGACGGGTTGTCCGCTTCTCTGATCTGTAACTTTGGCAGCAGTTTCCGAATGTATCTGTAGAATTGTGTCGGCTCAGGTGCTGCTTGGACCCCAAGTTCAAGGGCCACTGGCAGGCCCTCGGCTGTCACGTCGCTCCGAGCCTCCCACGCAATCTCCTTCCACAGGCAATGTGCCGGTGATGGCGCATCCATCAGTGGTGCAGGGCGTGCAGCGCTGCAGGTGCGAGCCTGATGTCTAGACGGGAGAAGTCAAGAAGTCTCTTCAGAAGTCTAGTCAGCGCACCTCAGCAGCTGAGGCTGAATCAGGTGGGTGCCATGGCTGGGATTGCCCCAGACTTAAGGCGCGGCGAAGCCTTTCAGCACTTCCAGAACATGATCGGAAGCGACCACGTTTATGACATGTGCCAGGTTGATGCCGCAGCCCAGACCGGTACAGTTGTAGTCGCAGGCTGATTTGAAGCCGTAATTCGTGCATCATTCAGAATAGACCTGGGCACTCTGAAGTGTGTCCGGCGACGAAGCCTTACACGTAGCCGCAGATGTCGGTGACGGACTTGCAAAGCGGAAAACCTGCACCCGTTACCCCATGGTATCCCGTGGTCCTGATTGAAACAGATTGCAGCCACTGTCGGCTCTTCTGGGCAGATGACGGCACTGAGGCTTATTACCAGATGGCAAGGTTCCAACTCCCATGAGCTTGTTTGCAGAGTTGGTGGAGGAAGGGGAGGATGCAGAAGGGCTGGTGCACGTCGAGGACTTGGGACATGAGGTGACCCTCCAGGATCTGGAAGAGGCTTTAGCAGAGCTCGCAGCGCAAAACGAGCAGCTGGAAGTGGACTGCCGAGGTCTGGAGGCCCACTGTCGCGACTTGGAGCGTGCCGGCTGGCCGGTGCCCTGCAAATTGGCCGACGTCATCCGAGCATCAGAAACGGTGGAAGAGGTGCCGGCACAGGGCCAGGGCGGCCAGGGCGAGCCTGATGCTGTCTCCGAGTACATGTCGATCGTACTGGCTGCAGAGGCCGCTTTGAAGGCCTCGGAAGCTGGTGGAAGTGCAGTACAGGCAGCAGAAGTTGGAAAAGCTTTGGCAACTGCATCTTCTGGAGTGGAGCCGGGACGATTCCAGGAACTAGCATTACCTGTGATCAGTCGTGCGGTTTCGGCCGTGTTTTGTGATGACGGAGATGCGCCGTCGGCAGCACGAGCTGCAGCGAATGCGGCCGTGACGGCTGGTCTGCAGCCCGATGCTGCGGCTTCGGCCGGGTTTGTTGCAGCAGGCAGGGCTCAGCTGACACACCCACACGCATAGCCTGCGCTTACAGCTTCGCAAATTTGCCAGACTCAGGGATGGTTGCCGGAAAGCACGCGCTGCGAAATGGAAAGGACATGAAGCACGCAGCCGAGCTTGGCTGGAAGACTGCCCTGGAGCTTGCCCAAGCTGGAGGCCGCACTCACAGTCGTGTAGCCGCATGCTCGAGTGCATCCGTGACATGTGTTGCCGACAGTTATATTATATGCCCAAGTGTTTGTTGCATGCACGTTCGTCAGGCCTTTCCAAAGATGCGGCTACACAAGTTGCGGCGCAGGCGGCGAGCGAGATCGCTTCAGAAGCATCGCGCAGCGCGGGCAAAATCTGTGCCCCTCGGAGGTACTAGAGTAGCTTATGTGCACTGCAAAGGCAGAGCCCCAAAGAAGCCAACGCAAAGCGAAACCGGATTTCAAGCTGCAGCCTGCTGAGTCGCCTTAGCCCGAGACGCGGTTCTGCTCGCAGCGCAAAATTCGAGTCATTTTGCCCTAGTGGGGTTTGCCGTGGCTTTCAGAACCGGTGAAACCTGATGATGCACGGTCTGATCTTTATGTTGGCGCATAGAACAGAGTGGGCAGCTGAGAACTCGGAGTTCTCAGCGCCCCGGAGAGGCAGGAGGATCCTGCTTTTTATATACCCTCCTGTGCTGCTGGCCCTCCCTTCTCACGTTCGCTCCCCACGTGGTCTGCGAGTGGTCTTATTCTTGGGACCCTGTGCCGTCTTGGTCTCAGTGCGAGCTGAGCTGAGGAGCGGGTGGTCGAAGATGCTGCAGAAGCTGCGAAGCGGGCAGCGAAGGCTTCGCCGAGTTTGTCCACACGCCTTGGTGTAGAGGCCGCTGGCCGAGCAGCAGTGAGCACGGCAGCCTGGCCTGAAACCCATTCTCAGTTGGATAATTTCGGATTCTGCAACTTCAGGAAGTTTTGGTTGTTCACCAACTTTCGCACTCGGGAGCACTCGTCACTACTTCGCAAGCTCTTGAGGTTGCATTGCAAGCACCTGCGCTGGATGCCTTGCAGATTGCAAAGCATGCCAGCTGTTCCTCGGCCACAACTGCGTCAGAGTGTGAAGAGACATGAAGAGGCCCGCAGCCTCCAGCATCTGCCCACTTTGAGGTGCGATCGCCGCCATTGCTCGTGAGGCGATCCCTGGTGCAGAGGAAGAGGTGGTCAAAGAGGTTCACCGTGCCCTAGCGGCATTGAGGCAGCATGTCCAGCGGGCGACGAGTCAAAGTGGCATCCAGACTCTGCATGCGCTTTGTGTGCCGCGCTGCAGGAGCGACGAGCCGTGTAATGGAAGAGGCAATGAATGTGGTGATCGCAAAAGCATCGCACAGCAAAGAGGCCTTTCGGAATGGAAGCTGCAGCTCTTGAAGGCTGCATGTGGCCTATTCAGGCCGTTCTCGGTCAATCGCCGGAATTATCGCCGAACGTGCCGAATCAGCAGAATGATCAAGAGGACAGAGTGAAGGAGTTGATGAAGGCTCGCCGCTCGACGGCAGTCCTTGGGGGCCTGCAGGAGGATGCAAAATCCAGAAGGAAACGGATGGAACGGGATGCCCTGCAAATCCACTGCCAAGGTGAGAAGTCTTTTGCAGCTATGGCCGACATGCAGGAACGTTGTGCCTGCCAGCAGACTGAGACTTGCCCTGTTTGGCGAATGTCTTGGCCAGAGAAAAGCACTGCAGCTCGCTCCTCCAAGGAGATGGAGCGCTTGGTACGAGAGCGAGCCGGCGATCAAGAGGAGCTACTGAAGCTGCGTCAGCAGCTCCGCAACATGGAGCAGCAGTTGCCGGCTCCCAAGACAAGGGGCAGCCCTAGGCCCCAAGCCCCAGGCCCTAAGCCCTAAGCCCAGCCATGCCGTGCCATGGGCTCAGGCAGGAAGCCGAAGCGCGGGTCGGAGCCCAAGCGCAAGGCGTTCGGAAGGCCTCTGATTCTGGTGCGCGACTACCACGCGACTCCCAGGAGCAGCTGCGCGAAGGCGAGCACATGGACAGTCTGAGTGCCACGACTGGAGACGACACTTCGTCTTTGGCCGACAGCTTGGCTGGGAGCCTTGCGCAGAATCGTGAGATCGGAAGACTTCCGTGCAAGTTAACAGAACACGAATCATCCGAGGAGCGTGCGCAGAATGCGGAAGAAGAGGAATGCTCGTGCAGGGCACAATTTTCGACAGGCAAAGTGCTTGGACGAAGGTGTAGACGTAGGCACAACCGAGGGGGCTTCTCGGCCGAAGTTTGTGCATTGCTGTTCTTGCTCCAGTGCTAGACCCACTTACTTGTGCTATCCGGCAACACTGAGGATGCTGATCCCGAAGAAAGGCTGATCCGGATCCTGGTTGCCAAATCGCATGCAGCTTGGTCAGCAGTGTTGAGGAAGTTGTAGTAGCATCGCATGTCATGGCGTCGGTGCCGCAGCCGGGGCTCCGGTGACACCCCAGCCAGTTTCAATCTCTCAGGCATCACCGCTCTGGCGTGACTTGTTCCTCGACGAGCTATGAGACAGAATTTCCGTAATGACTAGACAGCTCCGGCCATCCCGCTGAATTGCGTCCCTGTTTGCAGGCTCATCTTTATACTCGAGAAAGCGGGCCACGCAAGCTCAGCACCAATCACAACGGAAGCCGAAATAAAGAAGGAGCTGCAGCTCATGGCCTATCAAGTCAAGGACAAGCAGCTCGGCTTCATTTTTTTATTTCTCGCCCTTGGCAGCTGTTTTAGCAAAACCGCATGCACGATTTTCGTCAGATGTGTCACATCGGTCATCACAAACCGGGCCCTGCATTCTCCAAGTGAGCCCCCTGCGCCAACTCTGAGCGCCGACCTTGGGTTCTAGTCTGTCATCTTCGGCAGTGCCTGCATCTCATAACAGGCATGGTTCAAGCATCAGAAAGTCTCTTTCAAGCCAGTTGCCTGAGGCTAGGTTCGCTCGAGGGCACAACGCCGTCACAAGAGGGCATGCTAGAGACTATGCTGAAGACAGTCGGGAAGGTCACTGATCAGGCAGGGCTGTTCTGCAGAAGCGAGCACATTTTCCGAGTGTCGAGAGTGTGAAGCTGTGTGAATTTGCTCGTATCGGCTTTCTCCACGAAAAAGCTGCAGGCAAACATGAGTGGATGGTACTGTGTTGCCGAGTCGCTCTTACCCCGCAAGGCTGTGGATTCCGCCGTTTTGTACGTGACGCAAGATTCGCCGGCACCAGAGGCATCATCGCACGATCCAGAGGTCGTCGTTAAGGAGGCCTTTGCACCCGAGCGGGTAGATCCGGCTTCAGCCTCAGCTGCTACAGTGAAAGTGCGATGTCGCACTCACGCCGTTATGAGTCCAGGCAGGCCACAAGGGCACAAGCTTCCATCTTGTGTCCGTGTTGCAAACCCCGCCTGGGGTCTTGCCGAGGCACAGGCCGGCGCCGACGCGTTCAAGCAGAATGCTCGGCTTCGGCTGGCAGCGCGCCGCAACCGTCAAAGAGGCAGTGTGTTGAGTCGCCTGCCTGCGACTGTGGTAAGGTGTTCCTCGTGTGCCTTACGCCTTGCACACCTTCATGTAATTCCTCCGAGAACTGAGGCGTTGCTGCTTCCGTCTCCTCCAAGCCGGGCGGCTGAGCCACAGGAACGCAGAAGGCCGAATGCTGAGCCTCGTGTCTTCTTGGGCGGCGAAGCTTATGGAGCGGCGCGGCGGCGCGGACCGGCGCGGCGATGCGAGCTGCCTCCGCCGCTGCACTTCCGCGCAAGATTCGCCAGCGGAGCATCGCGAAGGAGGCAAAAGCGCAGAGCGGAGGCCGTGGAAGAGGTGGTGGAGATCTGGTGCTTTGCTGACGCTCCAGGACGACTATGGAGCGGCGAGCTTCACTTCTGGGCGCCACCACGAGCAGTCAAAGCAGGGGAAGAACGGCACTCGACACACCACGAGGGTCCTGCAGAGCCAGGGCAGAGCCAGGAACACCTGAACCTGGATCTCCTGTGACCTGGAAAAAAGACTGTCACTGCCGCGCCAAACCACTGCAAGGCTTGCTTCGAGATGTCAGCGTTGATGAACTCCACCTTTGGATTGCTCACAGGGGGAAGGAGGTTACAAGTGCACAAATGCATCATGTGAGCAGTGTCCTTGTAGGGAGCAGAACAGAACTTCTAGCTGTGCCACAGAGGAAAGCGCGGTTTGCAGGTATTGCTCGGTGCGATTGAGCTTTAGTAGACAGACTGGAAGGAAGGGTTGTGGTTTAGCATGACCGGAGCCGGATGACCGCAGTATCAGCACTGCAAAGCAGTTGCTACTGGCCGTCTCGTTCGGATGCCGTCCAGAGATGACAACTATGCTGCTTGGGCTGATTTCTGGTGACTCACCCCTGTTGCTTTGGCGAGCAGTGGCGGGGACATACTACCCCGCATGAGCCCTGCAGCAGAGGACTTCATCAAGATCATTGGCAAGGGTGCGTTTGGAATCGTGGAGTTGTGGCAGCAGCGCTTCAACGATGAGAAGCACCTCAGTCGAATTTGTAATGCCCATGTATGTAGGCCGCAGACTGAACATCCAACCGTGGATGATGTCACCTGAAGCCATGTGTTTCAAACTGGGGGTTCGGTCGAGGCTTGTTGCTGCCAAACGAAGCTCGGCTAAATGTCGCGAGAAGTGAGAAGAACGTGGCCGTTGCCCAGCGCTGCCATCTTCGGCTCTTGACAGGTGTCCACGTGGGTGAAATGACTGCAGAAGAAGTTGAGCGAACCAGACGCTCTTAGCGCAACCTCTGTCAGTGTGTGTGCTTTGGGGACCGTGTTTTAGTTGTTACCGAGTCTAACTTGATGCGACTGGTCCGTCCAGCCGGGAATTCCAAGGACAAGAAGCTCAAGTGCTGAAATCTCTCCAACACCCTCACGTAGCAGCTTGGCCCGCGCTCTGCCTTGAGAAGGTCTTTGCAAACAGCTGCTGCAAGTCAGGTGAAATACCTGGGCAGCTGGGTAAGTCGGCAAAAGGAGGCACAGTTGTTTCACACTCCTGCGGAAAATCGAAGGTAATTAACAACAACATGATACTCGTCCTGTGCGGAACAGGACCTGATCATCATTCAGGAATATTGCGAAGGCGGAGACTTGGCGCACTTCATCTATTTCAAGAAGAAGAGCGGCGAGCACATCTCCGAAGAGCTTGTGATGCAGTGGCAACTTAGCCCAAGAGGCCACCTCGGAAAAAAAATCGCTGCGAGCACCGCGAGTCTAAGGTTGGCACAGCTGACGCACGCTCTGCAGTATTGCCATAAAAAGGCACGCATCCTCCACCGACTCTCTGCCGCCACACAGGGGCTAAGTGGTGTACTGTTGGGACAGGCGGGCAAGGGCAGTATCTGTGAGCATGTTGAAGGAGACTTCAAGCCTTCGAACATCTTCTTGTCAGAGGCCACTTGGCGACATGCTTGATGCCTTTACTCGTAGCCCTCAGCTCAGTCATGATGCTCATGATGTCTCGCAGGACTTGCAGTCTGTGCGGCTCGGCGACTTCGGGATCGCAAAGAACTTGCGGTCCACAGCCAGCCTCTGCCAGACAGTTGTCGGCACGCAGGCAGTGAAAGCCTTCCCAGCTGTAGCTTTGACGGATGCGTTGGAATGGTAGTCTAAGCAGCGTGGAGGGCCAGCAAAGTGCACCACTGCGAAGGCGTATATGAGTCCAGAGCTCACGAGAATGCAAAAGTACGGGCCAAAGACCGAAGTATGGAGTTTGGGAGCCACGCTCTACGAGATGCGACTTGGTGCAAGTGGCTTGATTTGGTTGGTGGCGTTGAAATCCTGAGAAAGAGACACTAAGGTGCACACACAAAAAGCTTTATGACAGCCCTGATATCCTAGAACTGGTGGAGACGCATGGCTTCGTCGAGTGCTGTGTGGCCCAGACACTCTTCATCCTGCAGTCTCTGGATGCTTTCACGACTCGACAGCTGAGGAAAATCTCAAGCTCTTCCGAGGCCCCGCGATTATCGCCCGACTTGGGCAGCATGGCAACAAATAGCTTCGGGCTGCAACAGGGTGCAGAAGGTCCAGCTCATTGCTGTTCTGTTACTTACCAGGTTATTCTACGGAGCTTCAAGATATTTGTGCAGCGATGCTGGTGAAAGACCCTGGGGCACGGCCAACACTGAGCGATATGCTGACGAACCACGCCCTGCTGCGCGTCACTGTGCTCCAGCTCGAGCGGAACATGGACTGGGGCGAATCGCTTGTCCCTGGAGAAGACCCAAAGCTTGAAGTTTCTTTGGAGGCACAGGACAAGCTCCAGGCACTCTTCAAGAAACACAGCAAGAATGGCCTCCTGAGCAAGACAGAGCTGGCCAGCCTGCTACACAAGTTTGAGCCCGAGTCTTCCTTGCTGCCACCACGCTAGCTGTTTTCGGGTTGTCGGTAGGGTTGACACCTCGCTAGAGTCACTTGCTGGCTGCACGTGCTCTTTCACTTTCACTTGAGTGACCACTCGACGTTAAGCAGGACGTTGGACTTTTGACGGCACCAGGTTTGCCAGAGCGACCGGTTTTTAGCGCAATTCAAGCAGCAAGCGCAACCCGGTCGACGCATGTACAAAGTCTATTGCCTGCCTTGTGTGGAGGATCATGAGTCCGAAATATCGGAGATCGAAGTGGGTCTAGCATGTTTTAGTCTACACCAGCGGAGTGTCCAGTCCACGTCCAGCACACCCCTCAACCTTTACATCGCACCGTTATCCGCCAAGGTTGCATCCCAAGTGGGACTCGGGTGTAGCACGGATCCTACTGAAGGCAGCAGACGAGGATGGGGACGAGAACTTGGATTGTGAAGAGTTCCTGAGCTGGCTTCTGGCAGGAAACAGTGAGTGGAATCCCATCAAGCAAGCGATGATGCTGTCAGTTGACGAGGACGACCCCGAGCCACGCGTGGATCGGAGCAAAACCGAGAAAGCCTCGGAAGAAGCTCCGCCAGAAGGTGAAAGTTTTGCAGCACTAGCGGCCAATGCACGGCAACGGCTACTGAAGCCGACAGCGGAGAGAACTTCGCTATCGCTAAAGGAAGCTGCAGCCATGAAAGACTTGGTGGAGCTTGCACGGCAACACAAGGAGCTCACTGACTTGTTGCAACAGTTCCCTTTGGACCTAGAAGCGGAGGCCATGTCAACCGTCGCCTTCCCAAAATGGTCGGTCAGTCGCTTGAAGGAATACTTGACGTCACATGGTGGCACATTGGATGGAGCTGTGGAAAAGCATGAACTGGTGGAGCGTTGTCAGAAGCTGCATCTCGAGCAGAACAGCAGTGCAGAAGGTGCGGACGAGGAAGACTTAGCATACGCAGAACGTATTGATGCTCGCCTCAGGTGCTTACGACTCTTGCAGGATCAGACGGATCCTGATCCGATCCAGCTTGCTATCGCACTCCGACAAGCACAACGCCTGCTAGTTGAAGAGCCCTGCGTCACCGCAATTCTCAGCCATTCGCAACGTCTCGGAATGAGAGCGGAGGATAAGCTCAAAACAGCGAAGACTGTCCCGGAGATGGAACAGGCTCTAGAGATCATGGAGGCGGTGAAAGACGTGAAGCTGCCGGATGGGCACACCAACTGCGTGTCTTCAATGAAGCTCGACGAAGCCAACTTCCGTCTACAGGGCGTCAGGAGCCGGGGCCTTCATGTTGAAATCCTGCGCTGCATGGAGTGAATCAAGGGCTGTTCAAGTGGCAGCTTGAATTACGGAAAGGCATTGTTTCAGAAGACTTTGGCAGGGAGGGGGGCTCAGGCCACCCGGCTCTGAGAAGCCGGTTCTGGGTTGGTGGGTGTTAGCATGATTGATTTGCAATCTTATGATCAGTATTCTCATGTATGATGATGGTGATACATCGCATTTAGTAGTATTCATTAGTATTAGTCTGAGTATTAGTATTAGTGTTGGTCTTATTAGCATTAGTATTAGTATTTGTATCAGTATTAGTTTTCGTGTCAGTGCTGGCACTAGTGCTTGAAAAAGTATTAGACTTGTGGGGCCTGTAATGTTTCATTCGTATCAGTAGTGCTAGTATTGGCATCAGCATTCGTACTGGTGTTTGTACTAGTGTTAGGATTCATACTAATTCCGAATAGGCTGATTACCCTGAGGCCCGGCCACGTGTTTGCGAAAGTGCCTGCACCGAGTCGACCCATCGCACAGAACGTGTGTCGCAGAGTTGCCTTAAGCAAAGACTCCGCGCAATCGCGTTCAGGAGCAAAGAGGAGAAGATTGGAGTCCGGTCGCATTGCGGGCCTTTTGTCAAGACAAGCTCGCTCAAGGGGGATTCCACGCTGCAGCAAGCAAAGCTCCAGCTCGCGCAGGTCTGGTGTCGGCCGGTAGAGGCCCTGGACTTCTTCGCAGCAGATGGTTCACCGCTCGACACCGAGGAGAGGTGGGAAGGTCTCGTTCGAGGGACTGACTCCATCGAAGTCAATTTGGTGTTGGACAGAGGTAGGCTTTTAGGTCGCAAGGGAAGCAAGGCTGGGGCGAAGCCCAAAGCCAAACTGGCGGCCAAAAGATCTCTTGCGGGCCTTGCAGCATCCAGCAGCCCCTGGCGAAACTGAGCTTCCTTGATACTGTTGACCTAGCCTGAGCTCGACATACGGTTGTGCTTTCGGCTAGCTGTTTCGTTCGAAGCTAGGGGCACCAGATGTTTCATCAACTGCGGCCTCCGCAAGATGTTAATGAATTGCCGCAGAAGGATCCCGTCTTCAAAGTAAGGCCGGCATTGGCTGTCGCGCAAAACTGCTGCAGAATGGCTACTTGTATCAAGTCGGCAGTGGGGTATCGAAGGCTTCCTACGACGTCTGACAACGATGTGACGATTCTTAACCGGGGAAGCTGGGCTCCAGGCCATGCATCATTCGAGCACCTACCGCTACATCTCACACACCCTCTCGTACAGTCCTATATCTCCATCCTCGCATGGAAGCTCGCCAGTAGATCAGCAGGTGAACACAGACAGAGCACAGAGAACCCTGGTGCAGCTATCGTTGCGGTCATGACCTCCAGAGATCAGCACCCACATGTTAAAGCGCCGGGCGCCGACAATCCAACAAAAAGGCAACCGGCGATCAGACCAGCCCTCCGGCTGTCAGCCACGCAGCTACCAGCCTGCAGCCACTCAGAAGTGACAGAAGGCCCCCAGCGACTCGATGCCATGGAGCCAAAGGTCGGCCATGTGCGCTCTGAGGAGGGCTTGGTGCCCTTTTCACAGTTCAGGCGGCGTCCGCCGGCGCTTCGTCACAGTCTCTTCGCCTGTTGTCGGTCCGTCGGTCTTCAGGTGCAGCCCCTGCTGCACGACGGACACTTTGGATCCTGCCCGAGCCTTGGCAGTTACAAAGTGAACGAAGCCGAGGAGCCTTGTCAGGTCTACTCCAATGTTACGGCAGGGCAGTCTATGTGGCACTGGTCCCCAGCTGGGGACAACGGACATGGACAGCATTTCTGCGTCCCCATGAGTCGCACAGGTTTCAGTTGCCCGATGGGCTCCATCCAGATCGGGATGAGTTCTGCCCCGGGGACAGCCCACCATGATGCAGTCCTGTCGCACCGTAGAAGGCCAACCTGCTCACAAACTTGTGAGGATGAACCGCTGACCAAAGCTGACGGCGTTCACGAACGGGGAATGGCACGCTGTCGGTGTTGAGGGCAACCTTGCTTTTGTCTTGGAGCCAGCATGCAAGCACATGACATGGGCTCACGTGGGCAGCCCGTCTTCTCGCAGAGAGGGATGATGTTGATTTAGCTACGTTACATTTGGGCCAAGTCATGCCAAAGATCAGCGCCTGCACGGAACGAATCCACAATCACCCCGAAGCTAACAGTAACTGCAGCCGGATGATAAGCATACAAACACATGTGTAAGCTTCGCAAGTTATGGCAGATCTAGAGCCCCACCACCACAAAGCGACGATTGGCTCCTGTAAAAGCCTGGAAGTTTTGTGCTTGCAGCTGCCCCGCAGCAATGGGCATGATCATTGGGCCGCTGGAGACGCCGCTGGCATCTGGATCGGTGCATGCACAGCATTGTCATTCCACCCCAGATTGTTTTGACCGGCCCCGGCACTTTGCTTGAGCTGCCGGCGGACTTGCGGCGTAATGCTGAGCGCATCATGTCCGCAAACTCTGGATTTCATGTGAAATGGTTTAGTGATGCAGACTGTCACTCCTACATCGCACGACATTTCGATGCAGAGCTGGCTGGAATGTTTCGTCGCGAATATCGAGGCTCGTTTCGAGGAGACCTATGCCGAACAGCAGTTCTGTACCGTGAGGGGGGCTTTTATGTGGATCTAGATGTCGAATTATTGGTACCGTTGACTTCGCTCGTCGGGTTGTCGACAACGTTCATGTCTGCTTACACGTTTGACGGCGCCATGTTGAATGCCGTGATGGCGAGTGAGCCTTTCAGCTCCGTTCTGTATTCCACACTCGTGGAGCTGCGGAAGTGGTACCGGGGGCAAGTCCCCCGAATCTATGATGCAACTGTAGATGGCAATGACTGTCGCAACGAGTGGATGGGCCCACTCACACTGCACCGCGGAATTCGGAACTTTATGCAGGCGGTGTGTCCAGGCGTAGTGCTATCTGCTTCGCAGTTAGATGTAGCCTGCGGTACACATGCCCTGCGCTTCTACCAGGAGCGTGAGCTCCAGTGCACAGTGGGCAAGGGATCAAGAGAATGCTCTGATGAGCGAGCTCGGTCACCGTTTGCTGGTTCGAAATATGGCTTGTTTGCTCCTGGCCCGGAGATGTATCGAGAACGACTGTTGCTAGGTTGGCCACGCTTTGAAGCCTGTAGAAGCAGAGGTTGCTCGGAAGCTTTCCGATGGGAGAGACCGGATGAGCATCTGCAGCTAGACTGGCTTCTGCAAGCGCGGATGATGCCCTGTGTCTGCCCAGAGCAGTTCCAGAGCGCCCAGAAGCTCATTACAGGCTTGATCTTCTCCCTGCCGGCCAAAGAGCAGCTCGGCCCAGCATGCGACCGGTTCCGGCCGTTCATCGAAGCTGGCGACTTGGAGTGTGCGACGGCAGTGGTTTCCAGCAGCCTGCTCTGTGCGAGTGCCGCCTCGGGCATCGACCCGAAGCTTGCCCGGACCTTCCTGGCTAGGGCGTTGCAAGCGTCACTGGGTGGTTCCACACTGCTTTGCTACGAGGAAATGTGGCACATCAGGATGGACGAAATCTTGGACAATTTCTATCGCTCGCACATTCCCGAGTTTGCGGAGGCCACGCTGAACTGGACCATGTACAACAGCTCCTCGGAGGCTCCAGGACCTAGCACCGCTTGCTTAGCCGTATCCAGGGCCAGGGCCGGCGTGTTTTTAGGACCACGTCTCCAGTGCCAAAAGGATTTTAAACACACCCGTCTTAGCCTTGCAGACACTTTGAGTTGGACCACTGGGCGACAGCCGCAGCAGGTCCGGTGATTCGGTCACTGTTCTGCTCCACCCCAGTCTACGACTCTACATCGTGCAAACCAACTAGGCCGAGCTTTTGGAGTCCTGCCAAGAAACGTATTCGCAAGCCGCAAATTCGAATCCGAAACCCTAGAATCTTCAGCCCATCGCAAGAAAATGGAGCCATCTGCGAACCATGAGCGTCCTCATCAGAAAGCGCCAAAATCAAAGCAGACATAGCGATGTGAGGGATGGACCGACGTCGGGCTCACTAGTCACTAGATGCGAAACTGCTACGACAGAGGGTGTTGGATATCGATATCGAAATCCGCCGAGTAGGGAGTGCGTCCGATGCAAATCCTGCAACACTTCGCCCCAACAACCCTCCCTATGACCGCACAGCTTCCGTTTTCCCTTCCCGACCCCATACCCTTGGATGCGTTTGGGAATTGTACGGAGTATCTGTATAATTTTCTGCAATTGCTGGTGCTGGTGTGGGCTTGATTTGGGTGCCGATGTATGGATTGATACGATCACGGGTGGCTGGATGTGTGCAGTGGCCCACATCGAGAGCATAGGAGAGGTTCAGCGTTTTGTGGCAGGCCTTCAGCCGCACTCCGGAAGAGCTTGCCAGCAGCATCATCCGCATTCGTTCGGCGCTGGCACTTTTCGGGAGCTCGGCGAAGCCCAGTACTCCGAAGACAGTCCGCAAAGAGACAACCCAGTCAAAGCTGGGCCTCGCCCTTGCGAACCTCGAGGGCGCGGGTTGAAGCGGCTGCGCTGGCGGCTTTGACTCTTTCAGGAATCTGGATCTGGAGACCGGTCACCGGCCGCTGAATTGTTTGCTTCCTGGCGGTTTCGAGCCGCTCCATGCCCGGTGGGAAATCTCCACTCAGCTCAAGAAACCGAGAGGCATTTCAGTCCGATTGCCTGGTGGCCAGGTCCAACTTCCTGGCGATGCTATCTACGCCGGGCAGTGGCTTGGAGAGTCTGGGCAGCACCAAGCAGCGTGCTGCTGGATCCTTGATGATCCTTGGCCCATCGGCGTATTGGACCCAAGGACCAGCGACATGGCCAGGGCACCATGACCAGGCCCGGCGATGTTCTTATGTTTTGTGAGTTAGAGTTTCTTGCCGCAACTTGAGAGGCCGGACGGAGGGCGCTATGATGGACAGTTCCGCCATGACAAAGCTCATGGCGTTGGCAGGCGGCTGGCTTTGCAGATCTTGGAAGGCTGGCCCCGTGCATATGGCCTTGGCATTGCGAAGGTTTCGCCATGCCAACGGAGATGTCTATAGCGGACAGTGGCTCGAGGACAAGGCAAAGTTGGGCGCTCTCAGCGGTTTTGGCTCCAGAACTTTTGCTCAGGCCCACGGGCATGGCAAGTTTGTTCATGCGGATGGATCCTCCTATGAAGGCGACTGGGAGATGGACTGCATCTCAGATTGACAAACTTGAATGAGGCCTGCCTCGCGAATTTGTCTTGCTGCGTTGGCTGGCTAAGGACACCAAATCCGGCAGAGGAGTTGAAACCTGGGCGGATGGGCCTTGCAGCCACGATTGCTTCCACTCTTGTTCAGAATTTTGCCATTACGGCTATCCCAGGTCTCACTTCAAGGGTGAGTACAGAAATGGGATGAAGCACGGTGGAGCACTCAGGGTTTTTTCGGATGTCACATTCCATCATGATGCACTTGCAAGGAACCGGCTTCTTCCAGTCTGCAGACAGTTCGACTTACTCTGGGCACTTTGTTGATGACGCGATGGAAGGCCCCAGCCACGTGCAAAATGCAGCAACATCTGTCTCGAGTCTGTACAGAATTTGGCCGTGAGTTCTATCAGTTTGCAGCCAAGTTGAACGCATGTGCAGGTCAGGGCATCTACAGATTTGCTGATGGAAGGCTGTACACCGGCGCTTGGCATGAGAGTCAGGTCGGAACCTGCAACAAGCATGCCGTCAGAGCTCAACTCTGAAATGCCAGATGCATGGTGATGGCACGATGACGTGGCCCGACGGCCGCTCCTACACTGGTGGCTTCTCGGATGTGCCGCCCTTGGGCGGTTGTGTTCGAGAGAGAGAGAGAGAGAGCGAGTGAATCGAAAGTAGATGCGGAAGCTCTTTTGAAAAGCAATGTCCAAGTTGGTTCCCGGTAGAGTGGGTTCAGCTGTGGAAGAGGGTGTGCGCTTTCCGCAACCGTGGGAGTCAACATAAATACTGCAGATACAGTTTCGCTCATTCTGTGTGCTTGTCTGCGGGGACTAGTTGTTTGTGCGTGTTACTTTTATGTTGCATTTTGCCATGTTGGGGACTGAAAACATGTGCACAGAGGAGGACACGTAGCACAACCACTGCCATGAAGATGTGAATATGTATACTGGACATGCCGGGGGACTGGAGTTTACGCAGAAGTTGCTCTTGAAAGTAGTCCACGGCATGTCACGTAATTCAAGGTGTCCATGGCAAGCACGGGCGGATCGTCCGGTTGTTCTTTCTCTTATATCGCTTTGATGAAGCTGATGTGAACCCGAGTCTGTTCTCACAGTCCCTTCAATGCCCCCTAACCAGTGCGCGGCCAACAGGCCATTGGACCTCGACGGTCCCCTAAGCCCTGCGGAAGAAGAAGAAGCGAGGGAGGGACCTTTTTTTTGCTTTGAGGACCGAAAGTCCGGCGAGGGCACCTTCACCTGGCCCGATGGAAGGCTGGACTTGAGCACCCTTTGAGGAGCCCTTCTCTTGAGAAGGGATCTCTTTTTAGGTCCTACTCTGGACAGTGGGAGATGGGCCGGCAGCATGGTGTGGGCGTGTTCATCGACACCAAGGGCAGGCAGGTCCAGTAGGAAGGACACTTCATTCCCATCAGTGTCCACGAAGTCTGTGTCCTCGGCATGCGCAGAGATAGAAGATAAAGGTGCCTGTACGATGCACATAGAAATCACCCAGCTGCGCCTGTCAGGCAACGAAAAGGTTTGTGGAATGAAGGGCAGCGATTGAAATGGATGGATGCTTAAAGTTGCTCCACGACAAATCTCGCCTTTCAAGCCTTCGTTAATGTCAACCAGTCAAGAACATGCGACTTATTCCATACCAAACTAGAGAAGAGCAAGCTCCACAGAATTTGAAGTGCCTCAAGAGCGCTTGCCATTGGCAAAAAGCTTAAAGGTGTGAGGCCATTCATGCATGAGCATTGTGTCGATATGGCCACAGCATTGTGTTGAGGGCCTCGGGCGCAGAACAGCAAGCCTTTCGTTGCACCAGCGGGTCAAGCTGCAAGCGTCTTGTCATAGACACTGCACCAATAGGGTGCAGCTGCGCCATGAAGCAGAAGGCCACAGTTACATGCTCGCGGCGGAAGAACCGCAAGGCGTACTTCACGGCACCCTCGCACATCCGGCACAAGTTGATGTCCGCTCCACTGAGCAAAGAGCTGCGAGCAAAGTATGCGGTGCGAGCAGTGCCCATTCGCCGAGACGATGAGGTGATGATCGTGCGAGGTCACTACCATGATCGCGAGGGCAAGGTGACGCAGGTGTACCGCAAGAAGTTCCGCATCCATGTGGAGCGTGTTACCAGAGACAAGGCCAACGGGCAGAGCGTGCCCATTCCAATCCACCCGTCAAAGGTGATGATTACGAAGCTGAAATTGGACAAGGACCGAAAAGCAATGCTGGACCGTAAGAACCGCTCCGTGAAGAAGGGCAAGTACACAGACAAGGACTCTGCCTAGTAGTGGCTGGCAAATGAAGGGGACCTGCAGACCTGCTCGGGAGAAAATAAAGCGTCTCAAAGACTCAAAGTAAGAGCTGCCGGTGTCTGGGTAAATACATCTAACTTGACATTATATGAAGTGGAAACATATAAATGTTGTGAAACCACGGCATCAGTTGCAAGGAAAATGCTATACCATTATTGCCAGATTGACTGGTGCCATGTGGCTTTCAGGATTCTCGTAGTCTGGCTGCGTGACTTAGAGTGCAGCTGCGCCATGAAGCAGAAGGCTACAGTCACATGCTCGCGGCGGAAGAACCGCAAGGCGTACTTCACGGCACCCTCGCACATCCGGCACAAGTTGATGTCCGCTCCGCTGAGCAAAGAGCTGCGAGCAAAGTA